CAAACATGGTGCCATTCCTGGACCTTCGCGCCTCGAGCACCCTGAAGACACAGCCTCGGCGCAGAACCTCGAGATTTCCCTCACGTACTGAGAGAAGAAAAGGCGATGTACTTAAAATGAAAAAAGAATCTCACATGTGAATATATGAATATTCATTGCCTGTATATTTTCTCTCTCTCCATTCCACATCCCTCTTTCTCTCCCTTTCTCTCTTTCTCTTTCTCCATTTCCTCTCCCTCCCTGAGTTTGGATTCGTGGGTCGTGCTACAATCAAAAGGGAGATAATTATTTATGCTTCTCATAGAGCTAAGACACTTCTTCGCGAAATTCGGAGAATCAAAATGCCCGAAGAACAATCTAAATGCTAAAGAGAGTTGCCCAGAAAAGAAAATGTTCCTTAAGAAGAAGATTGAGAAGATGAAGACGACGGCGATGAAGGAGAAGAAAATGAAAAGGAAAAGGAGAAAAATCGTCACTTACGAAGAAGAAAGACGACCGTTAAGATTAAAAACACCAGAAGAAGAAGGAAAAGAAAAATGACCTTTAAGAAGAGGAGGAAGAAGAAAAAACAATTGACCCTTAAAGAAGAAAAGAGAAAGAAATCAATTGACCCTTAAGAGAAAGAAGAAAAAAAAGAAAAAGAAAAACAGTTGACCTTTAAGAGAAGAAAAAGAAGACCTTAAGAAGAAGAAGAAGAAAATTGACCCTTAAGAAGAAGAAAAATAATTGACCCTTAAGAAGAAGGAGAAAACAACTGATCCACAAGAAGGAGAAAAAACGGAAAAGAAAATATCCTTACAAATGATCTGCTCGCCCGCCCCTTCCCCCGCGCCCTTGAGAACCGCAAACGTTATTGGCGCTGTGCAGCCTCCGCGGGCTGAGCCAGAGGCACAGACTGGCACGCGGAGGCCCCGCCGAAGGACTGCGCCAGGGACGTCGTTCCAGAGGACCCGGAGGCCAGCGTGCCGTTCGAGGCGAGGTCCAGCAGCGGCACCGATTGCGCACGCCGCCGCTGAGGTCACGAGGTACACTGTCCAGAGAAAATGGGAAATGGGGTTACGAGAAATTTGCGGAATTCAAAATGGGATTACGAGCCTAAGAATGATGTACTGAAATCCAAGGTAAGAATTTTAGGAAGTGGAAAATACAGAGAAACATGTAATATACACAGTATGTAGAAAAAGACTGGATGTAAACGTGAAACGGAACAAAAAGAAAAATGAAAATACAAGCGTAGAAAAGGGAGTATATACATTCAAAGATACATACACACATGCACACACACAAACAAACACGCATACACGCACGCCACAAACACCCACACACACGCTCGCACAAACACATACGCGCGGACACACACACAAACCCAAGGTAAACATAGGACATGCAATAGAACAGGCAGCTCATACTTGATCAATCACATGAACGAACCAACTTAAAGGAACGACCTTAATGGTCTAATCAGGGAAATTAATTATTCAAGAAGGAAAAGAGAAAGGTGTCACTACATAGGCCTACCATGTGTCATTTTGATGTTTTCTTTATTCACATCTATGTCTTGTTTTTTTTTTTTTTTTTCTTTTTATTCTGATATCGCTGTTTAACTTCCTCATTCTACGGAACGCAGAAATCTAGGCAAGGAAGGTCAAGGCTCCGTTGGGTAAGTCAACTCCCAATCTTTCAACCTTCGACTCAGTCTTTCCTCTCCTTTCAATCGTCTTCTCATTTTCTTTCTAGCCGCTCAATGTTCACTTGCTGTTCTTCGCTACTTGTTTTACGTCCCCGCGGCCTTGTCGGTTTCAGAAGTCCTTTTACAATTGTCCTTTATAAGACAGAAGTTTTGGCAAAGCACCTGTCGCTGTTATTATGTTTGTCTCTCAGAACTGTCACTCCATCTATCAGCTGTATGCGCAGTATCTGATATTCATATATGATAATGTAAACTTGGGGACGGCGGAATAACGCTGTCACACAGTGTCACTTATAGTCACTTATCAATACTAAATTACTACGCCCATCCCATTTCACTGATATTTATCTACACACAATATACTTCCTCTTATACCGCTCACGCACATACAAAGGAAACATTCGCCATATTCAGTCGCATCACATTAATAACCAAATACTATCACGCACGCACACAAACAGACAAACACACACGCACGCACGCACTAATACTAATAATAACACAATCATGAAAAGCACAACGACACTCTTTGGGGAATTGGTTCCAGCCGAATGATATTGGGCCAAATCCACTTATCAAATGCTTACTACATTCCCACGAACAGCTTATCAAATAATCAATAAAATTAATACGAATCATACAGTGTTTTTACCCCACGAAGAAAAAAATGATTATAAGCATAGCGTTACTTATACTGATGTAATATTTGTAGAACGCAAAAACGGAATGAATATTTATTGCTGGACTGACATGTCCAATGTTTATATTCCTCGAAATGGGAGAATTTATGGCTTTTCGATTATTTAATTTGGTCCATATGTTATTCTATACGAAAAAAAACAACACACAAACCAATCTATGTTTGACTGGCCTCATGAGATCATTGGATCACGCACGATGTGTGGCACACACACACACACACACACACACACACATATATATATATATATATATATAGAGAGAGAGAGAGAGAGAGAGAGAGAGAGAGAGAGAGAGAGAGAGAGAGAGAGAGAGAGAGAGAGAGAGAGAAACGCTCTCAGAATATAGCTCCCATAGACCCATTCGTCTCCAAGAGAAATATCCCTCGAATAACAGGTCTGAGTGACCCGAGCCATTAATAGGGACCTAATAAAAGATAATGACCCGCTATGGTGCCATGAATAGGCACACACACACACACACACACACACACACAAACACACACACACACACACACACGCACACGCACGCACGCACGCACGCACGCACACACACACACACACACACACGCACACACACACACACACAC